ACTTTACCGCACTTAAAATATGACGTGAAACTTTACTTGTACCAGGGTTACATAAAATTGTTTAAAATAAGAGCACTAAAGAAGGACAATTTTGAATTAATAACTTCGCAAAACAATAGACGGAAAGGTTAGAAGATGAAAAGGTCGTTACTGGTACGCCTCAAAGCAATACCGTAGATCCTCATTTGTTCAATTAGGACGCCCTCTAGAACCCGACAATTTAAAGGCAACTCCGTTCATAACGCCGAAACAATAACGCGAACAGAAAGCAGAACCCCGAGGCAACAAGCGGCCGAACGTCCCGTGATAAATCTCAATCAATACCAATCCCGTTTCCCCGACCGTCGGACGCGTTAATTTCCCGGCAACTTTCCGTTGCGCGGATCCGCCGCCGTTGCCGCCGCCAACTAATTTCCGCGAAAACAAATTAAACAATTCCGGAAAATTAGGGGGCATAATGAACAGCGAGGCAGCGAAACGGCGGGGAACATTATCTAAATAGCGTTAGGTGTTGATACAATGAAGCTTTCATAATTAATTAAGGCCGTAATTAAACTACGCTGGTGCCGGCGTAGTTAGGACCCTCGTCAGGAAGGAGCGGCGCGCCGGAGAGCGCGCGGCGATTTTAATTAGCGCGCGGCGATTAATAATTAGCGGCAGTCCTTGCGCGGGAGCTTTTTCACGGGAACGAACGGAACGATTTGGGAAAGGTAATCGGGTTAGATTAAAGATTGCGATGGTTCTTACTGCTCAAGTAGGGGAAATGAAGGGGTGGGATTTATTAGAGCAACAGGGAAAGGTAAATTCAAGTCAGAAAAAGCTTTTCCAGGCTATTAATACATAAAGAACTACCACAAAAATAATTTAATTTCAATGGAGATGTCCTTTGTTTATGTATTTCTTCCAAATAATAATATAAATCCACTTCTCTCACAGAAGTCTTTAACTTGCAACACTTTTACGTCGAATTGACAAGACCAAGCATGTAATTGTAGCTCCGGAAGTCACCGGTGTAGTGAGATGTTATGAAACTTTAAATTGTATAAACGGCGTCACTATATCTTTACAAAATTCAGTGGATATTAATTAGAATGAATTCAGGACAGTCAAATAAAGTAGAATGAAATAAAAGTAACAATTTATTACATATAGCTAATAGATATTTATTGTATAAATGTTTTAAGTAGCATTTTATCCACGCAAGAATGTTTAAACGCGAGAACGTAGTTCGAGTGGATAAAAGGCAATTAAAACACGAATGCAATACAACGTTTTGTCCACAATCACATCACAATCATATTTGTGGGTCAGAATTATTGGAATTTAATAAAAAAATATTCGCAAGACTTGATATTTCTTACTAGTATTCAATGAAACGTGGTAGGTTTTGTTATACCCATTGGTTGCTGTGGTACGTTGTTTATTATCAATTATTTAATAAACAGTTCTATCTGAATTTGATAAAAATGCAAGAAAGTAATTGTGTGGCTGTTTTTGAAGAAGCTCAAGAAGCAATTTTCCATTTATTGCAAGCGAAATCCAGGGAACATTACGAAAAAGTGTTCGCCGAATTTAACGAATGGAGGGAAAAACGGCGAATAATGACAATAAATGAAGAAGTCATGTTTTTTAAATTTGAAGAAAAAATATGTAATTTCATCTATGTGGTCGAAGTATTCGATGTTCAAAGCTACTACAAAAGTCTACAAAAATATAGACATTAGAAAATATACACGCTTACTACTTATTTGAAGAGTGAATCGTGAGGATACAAAGCAAAAAAAGCTGCTGTATTGGAAAGAACACATATTGAAGAATTTTTGACTGGGGCTTCCGATAAAGAATATTTAATGATTAAGGTTTTATCTCTTTACCATATGTTGTTAGGAATATAGTGAACTTTTATTTTAGGTTGCACTAATAATAGGGGTTTCTGGTGCATGTCGATGCTGCGAATTGACAAATTTGAAAATTAGTGACGTACAAGACGTTGGCAGTTACCTACTTGATTCAATACCTAACACCAAGACGGGCATTTCAAGAAAATTTACAATTATAGAAGAAGGATTTTGCGTAAATGCTGTTGAAATATGCAGAAAATATATTTCTCTACGCCCAATCCGCCTAACACAAGACAAATTCTTTTTAAGATACATCAATCAAAAATGTACTTCTCAGCCGGTTGGAACCAACACATTGGAGAAGGTACCCTCAATAGTTGCTTCATTCCTGAATATCGCAAATCCAGAAGCATATACTGGCCATTGTATGAGGCGCACTTCAACAACTTTATTAGCCAATAAAGGTGCTGATCTTACAACCATCTTACGGCATGGTGGAGTATATATCTAACAAACTTGATTTTGCAAGGAATACCCAAGGAAAATATAGCTGTTTCTTACAAGAAAAGACATCTGTAACTTGTGCAAGTTGTTCACAAACTTCGGTAGATGTTATACATTCCGAAAATGATGGCGACAATGATACAAGAGTTGTTATTAACGGAAAGGAAGTTGAATGTAATAAAACAAAAAACGAAATGTCTATTAATATAAATGTAAATGTTAATGTTAATAAGTAAATAAATTAAATTTGATTTATTATCGGTTTATTATTTTTTTCACTATTCTACTAGTGAAATAAAACTTTATTCCACTAGTGGATAAAGTATCACTTTAGACGGTTCATATGTAAAAAAAAGTCCGATTATAAGGTGATTGTGGATAAAAGTTAATTTATACAACATTGTAGAGTCTGAACTACATTTTGAAACTACTGAATGACATTTGAACTAACTGTGTACTTTCGAGTTGGAACAAAATTAGCATAAAGTCTATAAAATTTCAACTGATTTTTACAAACAGTTGACCGAGGACTAGGTGACTGAGGACTATGTGGACTAGCTTATACAGGGTGGTCCGAATTTTATGCAGGAAACTTCGAGGGTAGATAGATCTCTTTAAAATAATATGTGTTTGCCTTATAAACATAGGTCTGGAACGGCCCCGTTTTAGAGATACAGGGGGTTGATTTTTTGTTTACATCGCATACTACCTCACAGGTGGTGTAGAAAGGAGTGTAAATAATTTTGTTGATGTGCTTACAAACTCCACTTACTTTTAAACACAAACAAATATTCTTGTAACATTATCGTTAGAAGTGTCTGCCACAAGGGGATTGTATTGGTATGAATAACTTGAGAACGGCGAATCGTAGGGAAAAAATTAAATTCACCTTTTTTTACGTATTTTGTGCATTAAAATATAAATCAGGTACAATGACATGTAAAAAATGCAGTGGCGTAGGTTTTTTTGTAAAAAAGGAGTGACCCCTGTCCAGTTGTACACCACTGATTGAACCCTTAAAGCTCATATTTCAGGAAATATAAGGCCTACCATCATACATTAGATGTACCAAATTTTATTGAGATCGGTTAATAGATTCCGGAGATATAAACAAAAAATCAATTTTTCTGACAACTTGTACAACACCCTGTATCTCTAAAACGGTGCCGTTCCAGACCTATGTTTATAAGGCAAACACATATTATTTTAAAGAGATCTATCTACCCTCGAAGTTTCCTGCATAAAATTCGGACCACCCTGTATAACTTCAACAAGTTGTTGATCCTGATGATGTGGTGGTGTCGTATGGGGGTTGCCTTAATAGAAGAGTTTCCAGCTAATATGATGGTGTTCAAGGTGAGCCTCTGTCCTAGGACAAGTCGGCTTGGCTGGTAACGTCTATAACGAACCTCCTCCACATACTATGTTAATTTGGTGATGATGATCATGAACTGTCCTTGCGTTGAGATGTCCCACTTGGTCAGTAAATACAGAAGCAAAAGACAAGTGATTAGACCAGTTGAAGCTAAAAGTTTAATAGGTGTAACAATATGAGTTTTTAAACTGGACGAGATATTAGGTCCAAATGTTGCAAAATTAAGGTTTTATATAATTAATGATTAAAATTGACAATGGTTAAGTTAAGTACTGAATTAATTAACAATTATATTTAAAAATATTCACAATAAAGTGAAACTTGATAAAAATGATAAAATTCAAAAGGGTTACAATAAAAATTTTGACGAAATTGGTAAAGAAAACAAGAAAAATTGACTACTATAAGATTCAATACATTATAAATTGATTGTTAACCAAATTTATAGCAATATATCAATGAAAATGAAAGTATGTACTTCGAAACAAATGAGAGGTACAGTTTATTAGGATCATGCGGTATATGAAATAATTATAAAGTAACTGTGTCTTCGATAAGGTAAAACTGGAAAGAAAATTGAACAGTTCTAAATTTATACAGGTTTATCCGCCAAAATACTGCAGACTACAAAATTTTGGCTACACATAAACCAATTACTAAATTACTAATCTGGTCAATTCTAATTGACGACTAGAAAAATGAGGAAAGTAAGCTGCATTCAAATTTACATAAAAAGCAAGCTGCACATTGCCTTCTTCACTCCATTGCCTGGATACAAAGAAACCACTCCTTAGACAACACCCAGTATAATTTGCTAAGAGCCCAAAGATTTACAGTAAAAGCAAAATGTCTATTGGTGGAACCTACATAAATTTAAGTAAAGATATCAAATAAACAAACCAGTTAAAGTTTAAGATATTAATTATTTATTACAATTTCGATGATTTTTTCTCGACAGTCGTACATCCCGCATAGGTGGCGCTTTAAAAAATAATAAAAAATAATAGTTTTCAGTTTTCAGTGCCATACTTGAGCGTATTGACTTATGTCCGTAGTAGACTGAGAGTAGGATAGGATGGATGCTATTTAGGATTAAAATTAACATGTAACAGAATTAGCTCAAATTTCGTTACAAACTTTTAGATAAATCTTTGCGATTAGAATGAAGCAGTCACTTTTTTGAATACTTTCCAGATACATAAAAATTTCGAAAAAACCTGTAAACTTTCTAATAATTTCCAATTAACTGAAATAGTCTCATATATGTCAATTTTTTTCAGGCGGCAGACGGCCGAAGAACGAGAAGCTGAACGTCAGGCAGCCAACAGACTAATGCTCTCCCTGCAAGCAGAAGCTCTTAGCAAAGGCTACATGAGCGAGGGTCCACCCCCACAGCCAGGCCCCGGAGATGGGGCCCTCAACGCCCTGCAGAATCTCCAGCCTTGGGCCGGGCCCTACAACGCCCCACAGCCGGCCTTAGCCGAGTCCATGTGTTAGACGCCGAGGTTGCCATCCTAAGAGACGAATTTCGTGCAATAAACCTAGTGAGGTGGACAGATTGAGTGAGAGAGGGCTCGTGGAGTAGACAGCCACGCTTTGACCATAAAAAATTCATTATTTTGAGAATCACGCACGTTTTAAAGTTTGTTGCAAGTTAAATTAAATAAAACGTTTAAAAACGTTTAAATGCTGAAGCGCATTTTTTGGATTTAAACGTGTATGTAAAATAATGAAAAGTTAAAAGTTTGTTGCAAGTTAAATTAAATAAAACGTTTAAATACGTTTAAACGCCAGAGCACATTTTTTTAAATTTAAACGTGTATGTAAAATACTGAAAATTTTAAATTTTCGACATGAAACTAGCCCAAAATATCAAAATACATTGTCAGTAATGCACTGAAAATCACACACTTAGTTTAGAAAAGGATATTTAAATTTTGTAATAATATATATAGAAACGCACGTTTACATAATTTAAACGTTTGTTGCAAGTTGAACTAGATAAAACGTTAAATGCCGACGGAATTTTTTGGATTTAAACGTGTGTGTGAAATACTGAAAAGTTAAACGTTTGTTGCAAGTTAAATTAAATAAAACGTTTAATTACGTTTAAACGCCAAAGCACATTTTTTTTATTTAAACCTGTATGTAAAATACTGAAAAGTTAAACGTTTATTGCAAGTTAAATTAAATAAAACGTTTAAATACGTTTAAACGCCAATGCACATTTTTTGGATTTAAACGTGTATGTAAAATACTGACAATGTTATACTTTCGACATGTTACTATCCCAAAAACATAATATGGCTAATCTAAGCCAAAACACATATATTTTGTTTTACAGTAGTACACTGAAAACCCCACACTTAGTTTAGAAAGGGTTATTTAAATTTTGTAATAATATCTATAGAAACTCACGTTTACATAATTTAAACGTTTGTTGCAAGTTAAACTAAATAAAACGTTTAAATGCTTAAGCGCATTTGTAAAATTTAAACGTATATAAAATACTCAGTTTTAAAACTAAGTGTGACATCTAATTATTGTCACAAATTTAATAAATGGCAAATCTAAGTTAACAGGTACTTCCTTTGTCAGTTAAACACTGCTTAATATAGAAAACAAATTACATACTTTAAACGTTTGTTGTAAGTTAAACTGGATACAACTTTTAAATGCTGAAGCACATTTATAGAATTTAAACGTATATGTAAAACATTGAAGATTGAGTTTAAGTTGTATCGTCACAGCTTTAATATATGACAAGTCCAAATCAACAGCAACACTTTTTTTGTCTGTTCTATCCTGGGAATACCACACTTAGTTTAGAAAACAATATTTAAAATTTTCAGTAATATAGATAGTAACGCACGTTCACGTAATTTAAACGTTTATTACAAGTTAAACTCGATAAAACGTTTAAATACCAAAGCACATTCTTATAATTTAGACGTTTACGTACCGTACAGAAAAAAATTTAAAACTTTCAAAATGTACCTTTGACATCATATTACTGCTATTTTACACGTTTAAGTTATGATAACTTTAAACCTGCAATCATTTTTTTGTGATTTTATATATTATGATTCTAGCAAATTACTTCAAATGTTGTATTAACATATACAAGTTAAAATTGAAGCACATGTACACATCTATGTGTGTACACGTTTATATGAATTAAATGTGTACTAAAAAATGTTATACATATGAAATATTTTTATGAAATAATTACAAACGTTTCGAAAATTTCAATGGTCAAGGCGTGGGAGCCTCAAAATTCCTGTGAGGGCCCTCCAAGTGAAAGACTGGCTTAGTAAAGACAGTAACGTGTACAGACAGCGTCGAGTCGCCATTAGGCGACCACAGACATTCGTGATACGATCAGAGCCGTACTTAATTGAAAAGAAACAAGTTTCTAATGTAATTACAGCAGAGTAGTGTGATTTATGTATAATAAATTCTATAATTGTAGATAATGCGAGTTATTATTGTAAGCACTAGAAGTATGGCATTAAAAAATTAAAAAACTGACACATTCATTACTTAGTTTAATTTGTGTCGCCATCGGGCGACATGCGACCCTGTTCCTTCGAGCATAAAATAATTAATTTTCGTATTGTTTGTATTGGCTGTAATTACCGTGCGAGAATTGGCACGACTGTCACGTCTCCTGGACTCTCCATTTGTTAAATTGAGCCATGGTAATCCTTCAAATGCAAAATAATGAATAATACTCATTTTTACCTCGTTACAAAAGTGAAGCATTCTAGAAAGCAATGAAATTGTAGGCTATTGCCAGATCATTCAGATAACATACTAAACGAAAATCAAATTCAAACTTTCAACAACAATTTCAATATTAAAATTTATACGTATATTTCAAAATTATGAGACATTATTAAACGATTTGGAAACACCTAATGCAAAACCACCTGATTTATGATTCTTTCTGTAATAAATAATTTTTTAAACAACCATTCCCTTTTTCCATCATGTCTCAATGCATTTTTAGTAATTATAAATAACAGTATAGCCTTTAATTGTGTTGTGATTATTATTTTGTTCATATTTCGACAATCGCCTGTTATGTTATCCACTTACAAATGTATTGACACATCTAATCGCTCCTACATACATTCTGCTCGCAGTCAGACACGCAAGCTTGTGGTTTCATGTGGTAATAACTATATTTAACCTGGTTTGCTCAGGTAAGGCAAGATATGAGGGGTCGAGAGACATCAAAAAGTTTATTCCTTGTCTTTCTGCTGTAATGGACAATAAAAGGAGATGTAGAACAATGCTCCTCAAAAAAACACTAATATCGAGAAGAATTAAAATAATTGAAAGTAAAGTAAGAAACAATTTGCTATTAATTGTTAGCAAAATCATAGTTTCAGTTATTTTTAAATAACATTTAACATGGTAAAAAAAACATGTCTTAACACTTAATTCAGATTTAAGGTATTTTATTGCAAACACAACAGTTTAATGCTTTAGAAATAGCAGGCACTGTAACGATTTCATGTATCATCTTCAACGGGTTCATGACCCAAACAAAATTGTTTTGACCAATATTTTGTTTTAAATCATAATGAAGTTTCGTCACGATATACTGGCAACCATAAGTTGGTGAATAGTTTTAGAACTACTCTGTTTCTTTATTAATTTGATGACACTTTTATGTCCAAAAACTCACTTTTTGTTGCAATATACTTCACAAAACAAAAATAAAATCAAATTTGATACATTAGTTGAAAGATGTTATTATTGAATGCTACTAGAAAACACACAGTCTACGTATTCCTCCTTTCATGGTTAGGTTAATATCTTTTTCTAATAGACTTCGTTAACTTCAAAGAGTACAGTTTGAAAAATTGAAGAGGATAAAAAATTCCGAACGGAGAAATCTGGTCCTTAGTAAAGTTTGCTTATTAAAATTTAATGGTTGGTGACATTTTTTTTCAATTCAAGGAGACCCCAATTCTTAAAAAACACAATATTCTCAGTGGCAGAAAATAGTATAAGGAAAATGTTACAAAATACAGTAAAGGAAGCTAAAAAAAATGGATGGGGAAGTGAAATACCAATATTAAAGAAAAATTCTTTCATAATTTCTTTATAGTAAAGAAAAAGGCGAAGGCAAACAAAAAATGTAAACAGTTAGGAGTCAGTAACATACCGAGAGTAAATCCATACACATCTGTGTTGTTTTTCGTGTTAAAGTTCCTGAAATACAAGTAGGCTGGTGGAACGAATTGGTATCATTTTTAGTAGGGCCATGAAAGATCATTTGACAACTATTGATTTCCCATTGTCTCGAAAACGAACTACTGCGATTGTTTATATGATGCATTTTTCAGAAAAACCTTTTAGAGATATTTTCGTCCTCAAAATAATTGCACCAAATTTGAAGAAAATATACTTACTTGTTGATTAATTTTTTCATGCCGCTAGACATAAAAAATGCAAGATGAACTTTGTGGTATACGTCTAGAATGCCAAAGAAAAAGTGTTTACTTAATTCGAGGTGATAAAATATTAAATACAAGTACTAATAATACATTGATTACTAACAATAACAATATAAATTTTCTATTAAAGACATTTACATTTCTCATTGAATAACAAATAGGTAATTTTCTTCAAATTTGCAACACAATAATTATTTTAAAACACACCACAGAAATGAGACATCCCCCAAATCCAAAAGCCAAAGGCTTGTGCGGAAGGGGGCTACACTCGAAAAAACGCGGACAAACACCGATTATCCATCGACATTGCCAGTGCCGACACCGGGGATCGAACCCGGACCAGAGTAGGCAGCCTAGCCGAGAAATGCCACCGCACACTTGACCGACTGCGCTATCGTGGCGATTTTACGTAGAATAATTCTACTATTCTGATTTCATGGCATCATATCACAAAATTTAATTTTGGATTTTTTTTTAAGTTTATCGGCGTAAAAAATAACAACCAAACTATATTTTTGCTTCAAATTTGAAACTCAACTATTTTTTGGGAGGTAGAATAATAATTCAGTGTTACTTTTTCGATAAAATAATTCCACACATGTTTTTCTGAAAAATGCACCCTTTCGAAAAATCGTAGCAGTAAATGTTTAAAATGTTTTCTATTTGTAAAAAATAATCTTTCATAGAGAATAGTGTTTCTATAATAGTAGATATTAAATAATAAAAATAATAATAATTAAATAAAAAATAAAATACAAGGCAATTTTACTTTAACTTCTGAAATTACAATAATGGATCCTAACCTAACCTACATGTCACCCCATGAGTATGTTATATGTTAATTATTGTTACTGCTATCAGTGTCTATTGAGACAAAGCCTTTTACGTTATTTCTCACCCACAATCAAGAGGTGTCGGTAGATAGACATTTAATGTCCAGGTTGGGTTTTGGAATAGTGATAAGAACTAATAAGTTCGAAACCTGTCTAGGTATATCTGGTGAACGTGCTAACGAATGGTCTTAGCTTTTTACTAGATATTTCGGGTGCGATTCAATGCTGAACAGCGCTGTTTTCTTCTCCTTATATCTGTGGTTTGGTTCTATTCAAGTCCCATAGCACTGCGGCATTATCAGGCCTATTGTGCGTGCCACTATTCAGTCCTATTCAGCAAGTAGTTTTGTACTTTTTACAAAGCCCAAAAGCTTTCTTGCCGACACTTTTCTCATCTCCTTGAGTTCCAGAAAGGATTTCCCAGGAACGCAATTCTACACGTACAAATTCTGGGCACTCTTCCAGAGAAGTTTTATCCGCCGAGTCATATCCTTGGTAGAACGGACTGTCTACAAGTACTTGTATGGATGTTTCTTAAAGTGACAATCCCGTTACTTCCCGAATTTTATTCAAGCTCAGCAAAACATTCGTTCTTTTCTACAAAGAACACTCCAAAAGTTGGCTCGCATGGCTTTGTCCTGACTTTAAAACTCAGTATTTTCTGTATTCTGTCTCAGTCCATTTGACCAGAGCCCCACTGACCATACTACGACCATACTGTGCCACAGATGGGCTCTGTATCAATGAACTCTATTTCAGATCATTACCAAGCAAGTTTTTCCGCTTTCTCATTTTCGTCAATCTCTTTGTGTCCTGGTACTCAACACAGTCTAACTGTATTAGTGGTAGCCAGTTCAATCAGCATTTGTAAACCTTCCTATACAAGTTTTAAACATGCCTTGTGTGTAACTAAAGCCTCAATTGCTGCTTGACTGTTAGAGAGTACATTCTCTGCTAAACACGCCATTATTACGAAAATTTCTGCTTGAAATATAGTGGGAAACCTTCCCACACTGTAGCTTGTACACCATCTGGGTTTAAATCCATATACCCTCGCACCCGTCCTTCTGGCCATTTTGAAGTCGTCCGTAAACCATACCGGGCCCTATCTTGCCAGGGTATCAAACTTTGCTCCCATTTGCTTTGATCCTCTATTCTAGTCTCAAATGGTTTTGGAAGTGAAACCTGGAACCATCTTGTCCCCAGAGTTAGTTCCGACATAGATGCTTCCATAATCCTAGAATATGGACTACCTTTCTATTCGTTAGTGTTTCTGAATCGGTATGCTGCTAACCACGCTGCTCTTTCCACCACTATATTTATGTAGCGGTGATACAACTAACATGACTTCTAGCGTAACCAAACAGGCCAATCTCTGGGTTTTACTGAGTTTTTCCCTCGCTGTGGTTGTATTTTTTCCACAGCGCCATAAAATATCCTAGGTCTTACCATCGATGTATACATACGGTGTTGTAGTCCTCAGAGTACGTGTTTCTCACAATATTAGTAGTTGAAAATGGACTCTATACTCTATGGTATCTATTTCTTTTTTTCTATTTTGTTGCATTAACTAACTTCTGGATTCATGAATTAAAGGACACCAGATCTGCTAATAAATTAGAAAAAAGTAATTTTTGACGTGAAATGTATACGCCCAGTTGAAGAAAGAGCGCGCAGACAAACGGCCTATACACACAACCGTACTGGGCGACTGGGTCATAAATTTCAGTTGTCGATAAATTGCCTAGCAGTGCAGTGCAGTAATGCGGAATTTGGTGTGGTTCAGGTAATTTTAATTTAATATAGGCACCTTCTATTAATCATTCATATTACAATTGCGAAAGGGAGAAATAAGAGAGAATTTTGTACTTCTGCCAATAAAGAAATAATTGGTAAACAACATATTTATTAATAAACTGCATATTTATATTAATTGTCCTTTATTTATCTTTTTGTGATATTATGTGTGATTATTGCTGGAATGTGTTTTTGTTTCCAATTTTGTTACAAAGGGTATTTACATGTTATAATTTTTATTTCTCAAAGCAATTGTTTTAATAAATATTTAGTTGTTGTCAGAGAAGATTACTTTACTTTTCTTCATTTAATGATATCTATTTATGTTTTTTGATATGTCATAACCAAAATTTACCATCAATATAATAAAATTGTTTGAGGAAATAAATAATTAAAATATAGTGTTGGCCAACTGAAC